TATTGATATGGTCAATTGTACTGATAATTTTCTTAATATTGAACCAGCCCTGCTTTCCTGGGATAAACACATCCTGTGTGTTTCCTCTTTGGTTTCTTTGCCCAGGTGAGTCCATCTGTCTGGAATGGTTGTTCCAGAGAGAATAACTAGCACCAATGAGTAGAGATAATTGAGGGACAAATTTCAGCACAGTGTAAGGAAGAATTTTCTAGCTATTAGAGCTATTTAAAATTGCAGTGGGCTGCTTCACAAATTGGTGGATTCCCCTGTCACTGGACATTTTCAAGCAGAGGTTCATCATAGTATCATAGATTTAGAGTCTAGAGAGACTTTAAGGTCACCTAATTTAACCTCTTCATTTCACAGCTGAGGAGAATGATGCCTAAAAAAGCTAAATGACTGGTCCATGGTCTCACATGTGGAAGGTGGAAGAGCAGGATTTGAACTCAGGTCTTCTGATTCAAAATAAGCATTCTTTCCCTTACACCATCTAGGATATAGAAGATTTTTTGTTAATTTTTGTATAGATGGGGAAACAGGCTCAGGTAAAATAAGCTGTCCAAGGTTACACAGCAAGTAAGTAGAAGAATCAGTCCTTGAACCTGGTTGTTTTTGTTTGAAGTGCAATGTCTACTACTATACAATTTGTTTTTTTTTAATGATTGTATTCTTGGTAACTGGTTTTTAATTTGGCATTTGATAGTAGTAGAACAGGAAGGGGAGAAACAGAAGCAGATCCAGATCTGATTCAGATTTGTATAAGAAGGAATAATAGGGAACCAGAGAGCAGCTTTCTCTTCCTCTCCATCTCTGTCTCCATCTTCATCTTCTTCCCTCTCTTCATTCTCTCTCCCTCTTTCCTCTTTTCATATCTATCATCTTTTTCCTATCTGTCATCTCCCCAAGACTTATAGGAATTCAACCATAAAACATTGTCAAATAAGCTAGGTTGTGGATGGGTAGCTTTCCCTAAATTTAATGTGCATGGGCTAGGCATGGTTGCTGTTGTTTGCTCTTTGCTTTAAAGAGGACCAATGACATCATGGGGTGATGGATTTAAGTGAGGTAGCATTGCACAAAGTCATCAGGCTCACTTCCAGAGTCATCTCTTCCAGACTCTCTTCCAGAGTCATCTAAGTCCAGTGGCAAGACAAAAGTCAAGATGACTAGTGATGACCCAGGATACAGTAGAAAACCTTGGTGTCTTTCGTGTCTTCTATGTCTGATCAAGCTCTAAGTGCTCCACAGGGTCTGCTTCAGCAGCCTTCATGGCCATTGGAAAGAATTGTTCTCATCCTACTGTGCATCCCTGTAATCCCTGCTACTGGAGAGACTGAGGCTGGTGGATCACTTGAGCTCAGAAGTTCTGAGCTGCATTAGAGCTAAAGCTAGTTGAGTGTCTGTACCAAATCTGGTTCCAATATGGTACACCCTGGAAGTGGAGGGTCAGAGCAGGCTGCCTAGAAAGGGGCAAAACTCAGCTATGAAAAATAGAATAGTTTTAATATATATGCCATTTCTATGTTCTATGTCATCAGAGCTCTTTGCCAAGATTTGCAGGTTCTATCCCTTAGTGAGGCCAGGCTTCTTTTCTTCCTTAGTGAAAGTGCACCATGTCCCCTTTTTAATTGGATATGACTTTTTCTTTTGTAACAGAGAATTCACAATCAGGAAATGTTGTTTTCATTCTCTGGAAGGGAATAAATGTCACTGACCCCATAAAAACTATTCAGAATGGCCGTTATTGTCTCTGCCTTCACATCAACATTATTTTGCATTTACTTGATTTATATTTATCTGTATACATGTTGGATCCCCCCAGTGGAATGTAAGCCCTTTGAGGGCAGGATCTATTTCATTTTTGTCTTTGAATCTTCAGGCAATGCTTAGTGATTTGCACATGGTGGTGGTTGTTGTTTCAGTCATTTCCAACTCTCCATGACCCCATTTGAGATTTTCTTGGCAAAGATACTGGTGTGGTTTGCCATTTCTTTCTCCAGCTCATTTTACAGATGAGGAACTGAGGCAAAGAGAATTAAGTGACTTGCCCGGGGTCACACAGCTAGTACGTGTCTGAGACCTAGATTTGAACTCAGATCCTCAGGTAGGCTGATGCTCTACCCACTGTGCTACCTAGCTGCCCTATGTACATGATAGGCACTTAAACGTTCATTAAGTCACTCTATATTGATCAGTTTCCTTGTCTGTAAAATGAGCTCATTGGACTAGAGTGACCTCTAAGTTTCCTTCTAGCTTTTAATCTATGATCCTATTAGCTCTTCTAGAGAAAAGTGAAATTTAATATCAAGTTTATTAATTCTTTTAAACAAAGCAATGAATAAGTTAGCACATTGATCCAAGCATTGGCTGTCCTAACTTTTAAAATTTAATGTGGTTTATCGAAAATTTGAGTGCAGTCTATAGTTGATGTTATATTTCAGTCTCTAAAGAACTACAGCCTTTGAAGAAAAAAACGTGTTATATGAATACAAAATGTATAACAATGAACCTTGTATAATAAATGCTTATTAAAACTCCTACAGGTTCAGTTATCATCTCTATGCAAATGACTTCCAAATCTATATATCTAGCCAGTCTTTCATCTGAACTCCAATGCCACATCATCAATGGCTTACTGGCCATTTCCAATTGGATAACCTATAACCATCCCAAACTTAATATTAACTCATTCTATTTCCTCTCAAACTACCCATTTTTTTGAAATTTCCCTAATTCTGTTAAGGTAACCACCATCTGTCCTTTCAGTTACCCAGGTTGCAATTCCATAGGCATCCTAAACTCTTCAATCTCTCTTATGCCCAATATTCAGTCAGTTGCCAAGTTCTCTTGGATCTACCTCAATTGCCCCTTGGCACCTGTTCCGTTTTCTCCCCTCGTTGGCCATTATCATGGGTAAGGCCCTTGTCACTTCTCCCTTATACTATTGTACCTTGCTAATATTCCAAACAGATGTCAGTCATCTTCCTGAACCATATTACTTACCATGTTACTCCCTGGCTCACAAAGCTCCTGTGATGGTCTTTTATTTCAAAGATCAGGTACAAACTTTTCTGTATAGCATTCAAAGCCTTTTGTAGTCTGGCTTCAGGATATCTTTCCAGGCTTATCATTATTATTATTATCATGCTGTTCTATGTATACATTTCACCTTTTTCCTTAGTGACTTTTCACAAGCAAGTCTTCATACTTGGAATGTGCTCCCTCTTTACCACCATCTAATTAATTAATTAATTAATTTTGTGAGGCAATTGGGGTTAAGTGACTTGCCCAGGGTCACACATTTAGTAAGTGTCAAGTATCTGGTCTGAGACCGCATTAGAACTCAGGTCCTCCTGACTCCAAGGCTGGTGCTCTAACCACTGCACTAACTGGCTGCCCCATTTACCACCATTTATTAGGGGCAGCTAGGTGGCATAGTGGTATAGAGTATAGCACTTGGAAAGAGGAAGATCTGAGTTCAAATCCTGCCTTACACATTTGCTAGCTGTGTGACTTAACCTCTCTGTGCTTCAGTTTCGTCATCTATAAAATTGGGATAGCTACTTCATAGGATTGTTGTCAGTCAGAGGAGACAAGACATGTAAAGCATTTTGCAAACCTTAAAGGACTATATAACTCTATGTATTATTATTACCTATTACTTAGAACTTCTGCTTCCTTCAAAGCTCAACTTGAGTACCGCCTGTTATATGAGGTTTTTCCAGACCCCTCCCCAGCTATTAGTGTCTCTTCTTCCCTTATGGAAATTTATTTGTATTTACTGTTTATGTATTTTGTATTGAATTTGTAGATATGTGTTGCTTCCTCAGTAGAATATAAACCTCAGTACCCAAAACTGTTGGGCACATAGTAGATAACTAATAAAAGTTGTTGATTGATTGATTGTCAAATTGAATTTAAGTGCCTGCTATATGCATTGAAGCATTCTAGATATTGGGAAGGTACAGAGATAAGAGTTGCTGCCCTCAAGGAGCTTACAATCGAATAGAAAGACTTGAGGCTTTTGCCTTTAATATATATATATATATATATATATATGTTTACTATAAACATGAGCTCTATTTTGGAAAGTTCCTGCAGTGCCGGGCACATAGTCATTCCTAAATGAATGTATATTGATTGATTCTCAGGAACTGAATAGATGAACTCAAGAGAAGATATACCCACTGGAGGTTTTGTGTGCTGAGAAAATAAAATATTGATTTTCTTTTTTCTATTTGATTCCATTCTGTAATAGATTCTATTCAATAACTGTCTCAACCATTTTTTTTTTTGTCGCTTAGTTAAGTTTAGCAGTTCATGAGTCCAAAGTTCAGTTTTCTCTTTCTGAGTTGGTTTAAAATTCAGTTGTCCTATAGTCTCAAAGAAACACATTATCTTTATACATATAGCCTTGCATGCCCATGTACAATTAAGGGAGATCTGTCATCTCACTAACAAGCCTTGAAGATGCAGGTGGGTGTCAGGAAGTCTGTTATTGCTGTGCCACTAACTAGTCATGCAGGTGGACACCACCAATAAGTTTTCCATAGCAACAAGGTGGAAGGAGGGTTTGTTGCTATCCCTGGGTTCCAGACTTCCATCCAATCATATTGTTTTCCATCATCTATGATACTTCAGAATTTGTAACCAATCATATTGTTTTCCAGCTCTGATGTCTCTTGTTCTTTGTTCTCTTGTACTTCCCAAAACCATATAGAGGCTAGTAAGCCCTACCTCATGGTCTCTTGGCTGACTGAGGAGTTAAGATAAACATTTTATTGGTAATAATTAGCTTTACCAGTAAATTGAACATGCTTGGAACTTTGTGCCTCAGCTTATCCCAGTTTCAGTTATGACAGTGCTATGCCTATCTCAGTCTTAAATCTGTTTTGTAACAAGATCCTGTATTTGGAGAACAAGAATTCTAAAGCAGAGAACACTATTCAACAGCTAATTATCATCATATTCCTTTTTCTTTTTCCTTTTAAATTCTATAGAATCCAATTCCTGATGCAGCCGTCTGGCTCCATGGAGTGAGGTTGCAGCATCATGCACCATGCTGGTGATGTCACGGGCACCACGAAAGAAAAGAGCATACAGCCGGTCTATTAGGGGTAGGGTAAGTGATGAAAAAAAAAAACAACTCTTTGATACAATGCAAAAGAATTGTATGTGACTGATAATAATGAAAAATTGGTGATAATGATACTAGAACATTGCTTAAAGGCAGATGGTGTAATGTTAGCACATGACAAAGAAGCAGAATTAGGATCCTGTCAGTAATTTTCTTTGGTCTCTTTCTGAAGAATAAGACTGGGTTTGAGATATGGAAACAATTCTCTACTTTTTAATAGACTGTGTCTGAGTAGTTCTTACATTGGAGTTTGGAGTTAACCTGGAGCCCTTTAACTTGTATTGCTGTTTTGTTTTGTTTTGTTTTTCAGCATCTTGCTACTGAAGCTAAGTGTTTTTTTTAAATAATCCTACATATTTTATTTTATACATTTAATGGCATTATTCTGAGAAAGAGTCCTTATGCTTCACCAGATAGCCAAAGGGGTTCATTTTACACACACACACACACACTACAAAGCTCTATTCTAGGGTTTCAAACCTTGAGCAGTCAAAGCAGACTTTTGAGGTCTGTTAGATGTTGAAGGTGCAAATGTCTGAATAATTTTTGATGAGAAACCACAGGGCAGGACATTGGGAAAATGTCTCCCTTAGCATTTTCCTCTCTTCCTAACTACACTGTCTAGACTCTTTTCTAATCATCCCCTTTACCAATCAACAGACAAAGTTTTTGATGTACAGACATTTGGCAGTCAAGGAAGTGAATTCAATCTTAGTCTTCATATGACAGGTACAGCATCCAGGGTACTCCACCCTGGACAGACCATACTTAGAGCACTGTGCTCACTTCTGGGCATCACATTTTAGAAAGAACGTTGACAGACTGGCCAGTGTCCAGATGAAGGCAGCCATCATGGTGAAAGGCTTGGAGTTCATGTCATAACAGGATTATTTGAAGGAGCTAATGTTTCGCCTGGAGAATTGAAGGCTGAAAAAGAAAGGAATAATAGCCTTCTTCACAAGCCTTTAAGGGGTTCTCTGTTGGAAGTTGGATTAGGATCTTTCTCTTTGGCCCCCAAGAACACAACCAGGAGCAGTGGGAAGAAGATGGAAAGAATTAAATAAATGACTTAAGGTAATGAAAAACTCTCTATCAGAGCTCTCCATAAATGGATTGAACTGCCTGGGACAGAAGTGGGTTATGACTCACTGGAAGTCTTCAAACAAAGGCTGGTTATATTATACTATTGTTGTTGTTGCTGTTAAGCATTCTTATTCAGGTTTGGATTAGGCTACATTATCTCTAAGAGCCCTTCCAAATCCATGACGCTATTGATTATCATATTCAAGTCACTTCTTGGTGGTATCATCCACATGAACTTTGAGAAAATCAAAGAAAAGATGCCAAAAATGAAATCCCATTGTCTTGAACTATAAGGCAATCAAATATTTTGCAGTCATGGAATTTTGCCATATTGCCAAATTAGCGGGACCTGGAAATAAAATAACTAATGGCTTATCTCTTGTGAATTATCAAGTTAAAACCTATGCTTTGAACTGATTAAGGGAAAGAAGGAAGTATCAGTCACATTCCTCTTGGATCCTGGATGCTTTTTTGAATTAAATATTTGGGTTGTTTGGGAGTTGAGATAGACTTACTCAAGGTAATGGTTCACAAATCAGAGGTTGGAAGGGGTGAGAAGAGTTAAATAGAAGTTGTTACTTGTTCATATTTAAAATTCCAGAATCTTGGAGTTGGAAAATCATCACATTTTGCTTCTAGTCAACCTATGAATCTACTGTTGGTAAAGGAGACTTCCCATCGCTTTTTCCTGCTGCCAATGCTATTACCTAATTTGATAGTCTTCCCCAGGAGTGTAATTGTTATGGTGATAGAGGCCAGAGAAATTGATATTTGTGTTGGCTTTTTACCATCATATTCTACCTTGTTCTGACTACATGTAGAGTGCTATATTTAGTTCTTGGCACCATATTTTAGGAAAAACAGTGATAAACTGGAGAGTGACAAGAGGAAGGCAAGCGGGATTAGTCAGTCAAGTTGTCAATCAACAAGCTTTTATTATGCACATATTATGTGTCAGGCATTATACTGAGTGCTGGGGATATAAATTAAAAAGCAAACCACAAACCACAACAACATATCCTGCTGTCAAGGAGGTTACATTCTAAAGGAAGAGACAACACATGTATAAATAGGTGCATACAAGATGCATACAGGATAGATGGAAGGTTACCTTGGAAGGGGAAGGCACTTGAAGCAGAGGGACTGGGAAAGCATGATTAAACAGCTTTGAGTTCCTACCATATGATTGCCACTTGAAGACAGTTTCTTGGTGCCAAATCAAGAAATGCTGAGTTTTTGGACTTTCTACTTGGAATTAGAAATATTATTATATAGAAATATATATGTAGAAATATAATCATTCTAATATTAATATTATAATATATAAAATGTTATTATATAGGACCTTCTACCCTGTTATAATAGTACTTATTGTAGTACAATTTCATTTGTAGCATCCTTTCCTTTCTCCTGTAGCATAGGCATCTTGCCCTTTTTTTGTTACAGAGAAAAATGTTTATAGACTTGTAGAATCAGAGGATCACAGAAGCTAGAGGAGCTAGAGAACTTCAGTAGGCATCTAATTCAATCCCATCATTTTGCAGATGAGGAAACTGAGGCCCAGAGAAGTTAAGTGACTTCTCCAAGTTCATATTCGTCTTGAATAATGGGAAGCATAGAGTAGGTGGGTATAGGATTGGGAGCCACAGCACTAAAGGAAGACAGCATTAATTCATATAAAAGCAAGCTCACAGGGCTCTGAATGGCATCCAGGTTATCTTTATAACTCCATTTTGAACACCATTCACCTTTAACAATTATTTCCTTTAGATTTAGAGGCTATATACCGAATAAACAGGCTGAACTTTGCCTCTCAAGCCTTTGGCAACACAAAGTTTGAATTTATCTAACTATAGTTTTGAGAGTTAGTGTTAGCATTGAATTAAATGCTGATTTAAAAATGTATTTGTTCTACTGAGTTCCTTTGAAATGAAAAATAAAAAAGGACAGATTTTTTTCTTGGCTTGTTAATGTAATTGGATCAAAGGATAGTGAATTTAGGGATATTAGGTCATTTAGTCCATCCCTTTCATTTTGCAAATGAAGAAATATAGAGAAGTCAAATGATTACCCAAGGTTAAGCAAACAGTAGAGATAGCAGAGCTGGGATTTAAACCTAGGATCTCTGCCTCCATATCCAGGACTTTTTTTACTTTGCTATGGATTCTATGTATAATATACATACATACTATATATATACATATATATATATATATTGCTATATGATATATCTTTTGTGATGAGTCCTATGACATGTACCCTGTATTTACCTATATATAATCAATCAAGTCAATAAGCATTTATTAAAAGACTATTGTGTGCCAGGCACTGTCTAAGTGCTGGGGACATAAACAAAGGCAAAAATTGTCCTTGTCCTCAGAGAGCTTTCATGCTAATGAAAGAAACAATAAGTAAAAAATTATGAACATGCAACGTGTGTATGTGCATACATAAATGTATATACTTATACATATAGGTATATATATCCACACATATGTTCACAATTGTTTACATACATACATGTATATCTATATATTTACGTATAGCTAGCTATAGAGATAGTAAATTGGACAGAATATATCAAAAGAATAAAAACAGGCAGAGGTTTAACTTTAGGCAGAAAAGGTTGTGCGTTAGGTGTACTGTGATAGTCTCAGATTATTAATTTAGTGGTGGAATACTTAACATATCTGTTATATCACTGATGTGGATCCTTGTAGCCTTTATAGCTTACAAAAATTTAGTCTATAGATGACTTGGTAAACGGTGAAAAGTTGATGCCCCTCCCCCCCAAAAAAGTCATCCCCATTGTCAGTCTGATGATGAATCTCTCACTAATTACCTAGGCTGGTCCTCAGATGACAGACATACAAAATATTACTAAATCTATACCCTCCATACACAAAGCCTTTCTACCTTCGAAAGATCTGCCTGAGCTATGTTGTCATAACCTTCAAGAACCTATGACAAGGCATCAGTGGAGAATTTGAGAGAAAGATTTTCCTTCCAAATGAAAATGGTCTTTATGCTGTTGGAAATGTAGGAATAGAGTTTGGGTGAGCGATTCAGGCTAGAGGTGAAGATTTGGTTATTGTTGGGATATAAATGAATAGTTAAAGTCATGAGAGAAAATGGTTTCTTCAAGGGAAATTATTTTAATTCAATTCAACCTAGTAAGCATTTATTAGGTACCTGTTAGGTGTAACTGGGAATACAAAGACCTAAATGAATCCCATTCCTGCCCTCAAGAAGCTGAGATAAACTGGAGAGGAACACTGTATATCTAGAAAGTAAATAAAAAATATATCTCTTTTCTCTTTTTTTCCCCAAAACTTAGACTCCTTCCAGTTATTGGAAACGGGAGGGGCAGGGATGAGGAAAGGTCTTAACACTGGAGGTGGCAATTAAGCTGAGCACTGAAGGAGTCTAGGAAATATACCTAGAAGTGAGGACAGAGTATATTCCAAACATAAGGGATAAGATAAGATGTTTTATGGAGTGGAGACAATGTGAAAGGCTTCTGAAGCCGAAGACATATAGCGCCCTAAGGGTTAAGAGAATATTAATGTTGCTTTTCCAGTACTTTGTGAAACCCCAGTTTACTCTGTGACTTGAAAGGTGCCCTAAAGTCCTTTCCCCTTTATCTTGAACCAAAGGAATTGCTTTTGTGTCCCTTATCCTATGTTCCTCCTGTCCTTTAATTTTCAACCTGCGCCCTCATACCCTGTAAACCATAAAGAATTCCCTTTGTCTCCCTCATCTTATGTCATAAAATCCTTTCTTGACCTGTTTCTAATCTTTATCCTCCATAAAACTTTTTTTTTCACTGACTTCAGGGCCAGTGCTCTATCTACTGAAACACCTATCTGCCTCCCCTCCCCCATAAAACTTCTAAAACTATC